CGGTATTGTTGCGATTTGCCTATATGTTTAGCTGTGATACTGCGCCTCCTGTAAACACTGGAGGAAAGGATTGTCATTGGCTAATTGACTATTGTATACTCTACAGGGCCCTGTTCTGTGCTGATATGCTCTGTATTCATAACCATACATCTAATTTGGTTTACCTTCACGATCTAGTAAAGCAGCAATATGGAAAAAAATGGCCCTGTATAAGTGACAACCAATCAAATTCAACTTCCTGTTTCTACTAGTACAGTCTACATAACATACAGACCAATGTCACATCTAACTGAAACCTGACCGGTCACTATGGGCCTAAACGTCATTTAAGCTTCCGTTCTCCAGCAGACCCCCGGGTCCATGGAATCTGGTGACAATGCCCACCGCATTCAATCTGATATTACTTTATTCTTGTGCAAGCCCAAATAAGAAGGGTAAGATGTAATGAGTTGCTACAGGAAATGTCTATTATAGATGCCAACATTTCAATGTCCAATGTTAGGGACACTTTGCTGCCCTCCTTACAGAGAACCACCGGCTTCCACTTTCTGTCAGCATTGTAAGTGTAAAAGGCACACCAGCTGTGATGTATGCCAAGGACTGACTCTAGCATGTGGAGGAAAAAGGAGACTTTGTGTTACATTTGTCCAGTTTGAAAGAACAAATATGTCTAGCTCCCGGCAATAACTCCTGGAATTGAAGCTACGTAATGGCGAGCCCATACATGTTATGGCAGTAAGGTGGAGAAAGACAAGTCTGAATTTCAGTGATCAGCATGAATAAAATCTAAAGTAAGACAACAGCCAAGCTTTTCTTCATGATAGTGTCCCTTTAAGTTGTTTCTCAGCTACATACTGAGATATCCTAACACTCACAACACCCACAGGTCTACAGCATATAGAAAGTACATGAGAGCCCTTCCGAGGGGTCAGCCACAAACTTCCTCCTTATATACAGTAAATCAATTCCTAGCTAATATTTATAAGGATTAGGGGGGAGGAGGCAACAATTTATTAGAAAAAAAACCCATGCAATAATATAAAAATCTTATAAAGGATTTTTGAATAGTGAAAGTTCAAATACATCTAATCATCTCATTATAAAAAATACACAAAGCTTTATTAAGGCCGGACAACATAACAAACAAATGCAGAACAGGGAATGGTGAGCCCCTCATAGGTGGATCTAAAAAAAGTGGGCGTTGCTTTGTAAACATGCCGATATATGAATGGGAGATCAGGGTGGGGCTTCCATGTCAATTTCTAATTGTTAAATGTAGTAAAAGATCTGATATTTATAACTGAACCATCTATGGTTTTATTATCTTCTATTGATCTTATAATAAAATGACAAGCAATCAGTATTTATGTTTTAAGCCAGGGCAAAATCTTTATCCTTAAGGGAAACATATTTTTATTGTATTCTCATGGATCTTAGAAAAGAAGTTTGAATGATCTGACATCCCCTTGTTGTTATTAGGCCTCAATAAAGTTTTGTATACGGATTTGGTAAGAGAATAGTACCTTACAAGCCTTCTTTGGATGAGGAGACAAAGTGGAGGGGGTACATTCCACCAATATATGTGGCCAAAAGTGTCTTTAAGGACTTCGGTCCTGGGGTTCCCCATGTGCCTTTCTTTGTAGCTACGAGGAACGTAGCCTAGGGTGTATTCTGTCACCCTGAAATCTACTAGAGTATATACAAATTTTATTACATTGTACCAAGTCAATCACAAAAAACTATATGTAAACATTTTAGGCATAAGGAATTGAATATATTCTTTATAAATTCGGGACCATAGATGGCGAAGGGCAGTCATTTCTTCATTGTGATCCTTGCAAACTTAAACACATGCCTGTACCTATTGTACACACACTGTAAAGGCAAATCAAAGCCCCAGTTCAGTTCTCTAATGTCCTTCATGATACATAAGCGTATAGAAGTTGCTGTTTCACTGCATTCAAACCAAAAACAGCAAAGGTCTGGAGATATCCCTTAAAGAGGCCCTGTCACCAGCCTTGCAGCATTTTTTCTTTCTATAATATGTTGATACTGGGAGAGGAACGAAGGGCAATTCTATAGCGTGTGACTGCTGGGGATGCCGATATCACATCCAAGACAGTGGCTACCGGCAGCAGCCTCATGGCTCTTGTAAGCTCTTTTAACAGGTAATACAGTGAGGAAAATAATGATTTGATCCCCTGCAGATTTTGTAAGTTTGTCCACTTACAAAGAAATGAAAGGTCTATAATTTTTATCAAATACTTATTTTACTCACTGGACTGCAACTCAATTTATAGCATTTGTATCATGTGTTTTGTTTCTCTGGATTTTTGGTTGATATTCTGGCTCTATCATTATTACACCTATGATAAAATGACAGACCTTTCATTTCCTTGTAAGTGGGCAAACTGACAAAATGTGCAGGGGATCAAATCATTATTTTCCTCACTGTAACATGCAAATATATTAAATGCACATCTAATCTTATGGGAAGATTTTTGTTGAATTGAATGGTCTGATGACAGGTTTTCTTTAAGTAAACTTAACCTGGCCTAAAATGTTTCTTAGGAAAGCACAGGGCTGAAGTGTAGGCACCTTGTGTTGTTTGAATGTACGTGTTGGTCCTTAAATTGATTCCTGTGTCCCAGTGGAGCCCATTGGATCCTAGGCCCAGGCTATACATGGATACTTTTTTTGGCCCATATCAAGATTAAGGAGACCATTCGGGGGCAAAGTAGTAGAGTCTCTTACTAGTCCACCCTCTAACCCTATTATATTCCCTTTCACTACAATCCCTTGCTCTGGGAGTCAACACATATATAAGCTTTGTGTTAGATGGTGCCAGAGCTTACACATGGTTAATGACATCATCTTTTTCATCAGGTGACAGTGTCATGGCCCACGCACTGCATTCTGGGAGGAGGTCACACGATCCCCCATATTACAGTAAGCCGGGTATATTGGGACAACTGCAATTAGGTGACCCAGCAACGATGGAGCGAGGTGAAGGTAAGTATCAGTAGGTTAGTAAACACCAGTGACACATTGATGTGATTTTGTTATATAAGTATCAGTTGGTTAGTAAAACCCTGTTACATGGCCCTATATGAGCAAAATGACAGGTACTCTTGAAGCTCTACTCTCAGCACTATGCTCCACTAGCAGTCATTCAACCATGTAAAGTCAAAGCCTCTTCTGCTCACTGAAGTTCAGGCATTTAACACTGACAGGTGTGGGCCTTGGCACCAGGAGAGGTTGGGCTTTATATCAACATGGGCAGTAGTGGAGGCCCTTAGTACTCAATACTTATTACTGAGCCTAGGATCAGAATGGGCTTGAAAGGACTCAGGGATTGATTTCAATCTAACAAAGGTGATTGCAGACATTTTAGGCTAGTCAAGTTCACTATATAGTACAGTACAGCCTCCTGGTCTGTTTCATTTCCAGCTCTGTCAAGGGATTTAAACATTAATCTACATAATCGTGATTCCGGCTCAATTCTTCTCCATGTTGGATCAAAATGTATATGTAGAGCTTTAAATCAGGACTACAGGGAAGACTCAAACTTCAGCTACATAGAACCATATGAATAGCTCCGTACCAGTGTTTGTATTTTGTTTTACAATGCATACAACGGTTATGGCCTACTCTGACTCTGACATGGGAGGGGGACTGTTCCAGACTATTGTAGACTGTATGGAACATTGTCCGTGACTTCTGGATCTTACATGTAAACAGGAAATACTAAATGGATATAACTGAATGTTATGTAGGGCTATTGATCATTCTTGAGTGAGGTTCAAGGATGCACTTTGTATATGCTGGTCTGAAGAGCATCACATTCAGCAGGCATATACAAAACATTACCAAACCTCTAAGAAGCTTTTTTATGAAAACCCCCATTTAGCTTCAGTCTGAGTCAGTTAAATATAGTTCTGAATGGGAGTGCCAGCTGCAGCAAAGCTATTTTATGTCACTATGGATAAAGTACCCTCATGTTCCAAATGGTGCACTTTATTTTGTTTTCGCAGTGCTTCTACCATCTCGCATGATGCTTTGCACTCTGTGCTCCACCAGGGAAACTGGTAGAACACTAAGGGTATTAGACATGTATTTACAATATATTTCACCAAAAAAGCCTATACTGTGTATACTGTGCCCCTCCCTGATTACCTTTTACTTTGTTACTGGGGTCTGACCTTTTCCGACTTCATGGTGAAACTAACTGCCATGCCACTAGCCAATGCCTCAATGACCACTAAGGGGGCTGCATTTTGATATGAGGTCAGGCAAAATCAGGCCACAGTGACAAAGTGAGATTACATCAGAGAAGGGCTAAGAGGTGTTTTTGAGCAACGATGGTAGTAGAAGGTTATGTTGTAGTGTCTGCTGCAAGGCAAGACTTTTGCTTTTAAAAGGTTAATACGGTATACAGGTTCACTTACTGCTGCTTTTACCTCCCGCACCTAAAAACTTAGATATGCCAGTAGACATATAATATCATGTTATACAGTATGTGCTTGTCATTTTATTCTAAGCCAGCAAAGTACCAGCACTGGTGGTTGTAAATCACTTGAGAGGAAACCTTCCCTAAGTGAAGCTTGGAGGCTGGCATTGTTGACTTCTAATTCGGCAAATGTTAGTTGTCTGGCTGGCTTGCTGATCTCTGACTTGATCAGGACAAGTATATTGATAAAGACTTCTGACTCTTTTTCTTACTTTGCTGATATGTTGCAGGCCAGTGACTCACAAAGTACTGAAGCTAGAGAGTCAGTATAAAAACCTTGCAACTAGACTCTTCAAAAGGAGATCAGCAATGGCACCCCCAATATTAGGAAAGGCTTGCTTTCAAATTAGGACACTCTGTATGGTCCACTTTTGGACTAAAAATCCTTGTATGCAATGGCTATTTTGTATCTGTAACAGAAGCAGATTAATGCAACTTGAACTCTGCTGTAGAAACAAAATACAAACACAGGCGATAAGCTAAAGGTAACATACAGAATTCTGTCCTACCTGCAGTTCTCTCCCAAATAATAGTTTTGGTGGAATTATTGTGTAATAAGAAATGAAAACAGCATGTGTGTCTGACCAGCAAGGCCTATCGATTTTCCTTCTTCAGGCTCTCGGTTAGCGGAGTGCTTTGTGTTTTCCTTTGTATATAACAATATACATACACACACGCTAACACATACCCATCGTTCATTCAGCATACCTGCAGCACCACTAATTAACATAACGGAGTACATAAACAAAGGTCCCGTCTTCCCCCGGCGAGTCTAGAACAATACGGACCCCAGCTAGGAGCTCTCCCAGGGGTCACAGCTCATACAAGATTTGTGCATTGTTTAACCTGGTTCTCAGGAAATATTGAGGAGTCTGAGATTTCAGGAGGAATGTGGATGTTAATTCACAAAATGAATGCAAGTTTCATTAAATTACGAGCAGCAAAGCCTTGTATTGTGTTAGCCGTCGGTGAAAGTGGAAAATAATGGGAATAAAGTGGTTCACTGGCTAATGGAATTTAACGGCAACCTTTCAAGACTACATAGGTCCCTTCGATGCCAACACTGCAACTGCAGGACTGCGCTCTGTGGAATCCATTGAAGTTTAATGTCTTGTACAACAAACTGCATCTCCCTTCCTCAAGGCCACTGCTCCAAAGGGCCAAGTGATAGCCAGCAAGAGGACGGAAGGTGGACAAGGGTGGGCTTATTTAACAAGGCAAAGCAAATACCAATGATGAGTACTGACCAATGGCAGCCAACTGAAGTTCACCTTTTGTTAGATGACGGCACTCATAAAAGATGATCGCTGATTGGCTGCTATGGGCTGGTTCAGTTTGGTCTTAGCCTTGTTCGATAACAGGCAACTGGCCCCTTCTATCAAAGTAAGAAATATCTCAGCTAGTTTGTGCAGCAACCAATCAGATTCTTCTTTTTACTATCCCGTGTTGCAAAAAGAGAATGTGATTGGTTGTTATGGAGCAACACAGACTGGCTGTGGAGGTTCTTCCCTAACTTTGATAAACAAGGCCACTTGTGATAGTGAAGGGGGATATATAGTATAGACATGTATATTTACACATAATGGGTTTAGTAATTAGACATACATATATCTATATTCCCAGCGTGGCCTGGGGTTTCAAATGTACATATTATATAAAACAGAACCCATAATCGGACTGTTACTCTGCCAAACTGAAGATTCATCTCACTATTTGATGATGTTGTAGTTGCAGTGGTCTGCGTCCGTAAAACCAACTTTCAGAAAATGTCAGTAAGCGGAAACCCCGATCAGGATTTGAGCACCAAGCTAACAGCTTATCATAGAGTGCTGGGCAGGTGTTGGGGTGGGATGACCTGGCGAGCCTAACAAACATTCATAGAAAATAGAACACAGGTACAGGAAGGTAAGCAATGCCGGGATGATAAGACGTATCTGGCAGACCACAGCTGCTAAAGTTGGTCAGTTAAAAAATATTTTCCCAGGATGTAAAGGCTTAGCTGGCCAAAACTACTTTCCAGGGTGGTAAGGCCCAGTGTGTACTGTACCAAGAGCATTAGGGACAAGGACAGATTCTTGAATCTGCTCTATTACTTGCAAACACTGAGTCGTGTAATATACATCATTTATAAAACATGTCCCTACGATGAAAGGGCCTACCTGGCACAAAATACCTGCCAGGATGGTAAGGCTCAAGACATATTTTACCAAGAGCAGTAGGGACTAGAACAGATGTTTGAATTTGCTCTATTATCTGCAAATAGCCGTATAATATACTTCAATTATAAAACACATCCCTAAGATATAAGGACCTACCTGGCGAAAATGACCTGCCAGAATGGTAAGGCTCAAGGTATATGGTACCAAGAGCATCAGCACTGCCAAAGTCCGCACACCTGCCAAAGTGTCCACACCCAGCTTAACTACACAGATGTCCAGGAACTAGCACCATGTAGTGCCACATGTACCCAAGACATTGACAAAGCTTGGTACAGCATGCTTGCCTGGCATCGACCAAATGGGTCTGAACTGCATTCCCACTCATGTTGTCAACAACACGCCACACAGGTAAGTAGGCATTCTGGATTGATGAAAAGGCAGCAGGATTTGTTGAACATGTTACAAGTACTTAATATCTATATTGTAAGAGGTGCACAGAACTATTAAGCTACAAATGTTTGTGGTCATACCAGGCACAACACAAATTAAAAGAACAAAAGTCTCACCTAGTGATCTTAGTATGAAAGATATTTCGGGCATTGTAAAAGGGTTCCAAGCTTTAAAAGGCAAAGTCAAAGAGATGATGTATATCAGAGCCTCAGGTGTATGACACAGTGAATGGGTCTGTTTGACTTGGTGCTCAATCGCTCTGTGCTTTAGTTTGCAGAATACTTGTAATAAAAGGTCAAATGAGACATGTTTAGCAGAGATCACAATACCACTAACCTGGAGGAGAGTGCCATAGAAATAAATAGGAGCAAAATGTAGTACTGTCACACAGCTGAACCAATAAAACTACTTAAAACCCCTCGAATGAGGAGGGGTGAGGACCGCAGTGTGGAAATGAGAGAAGCGGAGGATTTGGGGAATAGGTAAGACCAGTCTGAGGGAGTCAGTGATCTTTGTCCTCTTGGTGCTGGTCCTTCTAGGTCAGTGTGATGTAGGCCGATGCTTTTTCCTTCAGTTGTCTCAGGCACAAATGACAACTCCAGCTTCCTGCAAGAACAATGTTATAACACAATTATGTCAATGAAAAGGCACCCGCTGCAGCCGAGAACAGACGCAAGAGGTGACTGGCTTTTCCTGTCTACGGGCGGCCCCAGCAGACCCATGCCTTCAGTCACCCTACGTTACATTACAACAATTGTTTCTTATTGTTATTCTGTTGTAAATGGTGCTAACCACATTTTCAGAAATACACTTAGCAGAGTGCCCCGGTATTACCCAGAACTCTCTCAGGAAGCCAAACATGTGGGAGCACAGTGTACATATTTATTCAGAGTTACAACGATCCACACTGGGATTCTGAAGACAATCCTTTCTTCTCTGTAAGGTTAATGGCCAGGCAGTAAAGATGCCAGACAGCGCTCTTAAAATTTGACATCCTAAAGAGGCATCTGTATGTTGCTGTGGAAAATAAAAGTATTTTATCTGCGGTGGAGAGGTTTCTCTGTGGTTAAACATTGATGCAATAATGGTTTACCCAGAGAAAGGAAAAGGCCTATTGTTCATTACAGAGCCGAATGTGTATATACACTGCATTTCTCCATCCACATACTGTAAATATAACCTCTGCTATTTCTGCAATACTAGGGCTGTATCTTTTCCAAGTAGTCAGCCCTGGCTGTGATTTGCAGACATACTGTATAGCACAGGCTCTTGGTAATTATACATGGATAGTAGCTTAGAGTGCATATGAATTGCAGGTTTTCTGTGTAATGGCTTTGATGCTATAATGTATAATTGTATACAGGCTTTGATGTATAATGGTGAAGGAGCTGGATGAGGCATGAAACGTCCATGACAGCAAAGAAACAACCAAATAAAATGGCAATTCCCAGACAACCAAAGGAATACTGTGCCAGTTGACAGTGTCATTGACTTTAAATTAAGCTTAAAGTGAATCTGTGCTTTGTCCATGCAGGGCAAAGAAATAGGTTCACTTAGATTTAGCCCCCCAAGCAGCATATACTTACCTTCCTAGCGCTCCTCCACCATGCTGTTCAGCTGTTGGGAGCAAAGTAAAGGCCTGTGCAAGGTATGAGTGTGGATAGAGGAATCTCCCCTACGGCTATTAGAATACCCTACCAGTTACTGCAGCTGAAAAATCAACTTTTTTTCGAGCTGGGTGGTTCCAACATCCAACCAATTTTGGATGATTCAGCAGGAAATGGACGAATTTTGATCTGGGCTATGGACTCCCATGGTACAGAGCTGATTAGCCCAGTGCTATCACATGGAGTGAGTCACATATTCCTTCAGCTCCTGGCACTAAATGGAGCGGTGTGTGATCAAAGATATGGTGAGTAGGTGTTGCTGGGGATAGATATGGGAGGAGTTTGAAGCAAACCTGTTGCCTTGGCCTGAATGCGTAAATCAAATATTTGCAATAAAGTTTAACTCTATCCTCCTTAATTTTGAGAAGGATTAGAACCTCTGCCAGATTTGTGTTGCTGTCTGTGCTCCCATCAGGGATATTTCCTTGTCCTTCCTGTGTCCAGAGGCACAACAGTAAGTAAGTGTATATTTCCTCAAAAGGACAGGAAGCTTCACCTCTGACAGTTTCCACCAGAACAAGTGTTGCTTTTGAAAGATATCCCATCTACTTCTATTCTGGTGGCAAATTGGATTTGAATTTCCTCTCACTTTCTTTGCAGGTGACAATGGTTCCTCTGACAAATAGTGAGGTTAGATCTCCCAACATGGATTATAACCTTTTTAATTGAAAATACAATTTTAAAGAATTTTAGCAATTTTTTTGTGGACAGCTGACTTTTTTCTACTCTTTAGATTATTTTGTTTACCTTACCCTGTCCTTCATAAACCTGATTTATGGTTGGGCCTATGTTTATAATAATTAGAGATGAGCTCAGGTTTAGATCAAACCTGGTCTGAAGCTAGGCTCCTCCAAACAAGGAAGTGTGGACTTCCGGCCAAACAGCTGTGTGCCAGGCATTACCCACCCTGCAGCTGCACTTAAACAAAGGGGCGGGATGCTTGTGCTGACGCCATTTACATTATATGCCAACATAGCCATATCATGTAGCCATTTAAGGCCATTGACATCACTACATCCTGCCCCTTTGCTTATGTCAAGCTGCGCGTGGGGTATTCCCTGCCTGCAGCTGATTGGGCAGCACAGAAGGCACTTCCTTCCGTGTTCAGGCAGTACTCCTTTCAGGTTCAGAGGAGCTCAGACTCAGACCAGGTTCAGTCCAAACCTGAGATCATCCCTAATTATAATCATCTGGGTAATCTCAATGTTTTAAAAGGAGCAGCTGTCTCTTTAGTGTGGATGAGCCCTAAACTGCCTTTACACCTGCAGATGATCTATGGTCAGATGGAAAAAGTGCAACAGAAAGCTAAAGGTGGCCATACACTTTACAACCATCGCAAGACCTTAGTCTTGCGATGGTTGTAAAGTAATTTAAAAAACATACGATCTGCCCATCTTGGACAGGCAGATCGTACTTGCGATCATCGCAAGCCCTCCCCCCTGAGGGGCGGCTTCCGATGACCGCAATGCTGAACGGGCAGTGTGCGCGTGCGCATTGATCTTACGATCATGCTAAAAACCAGCCGAAAATCGTACGATTCTCGGCTGGTTTTCTAGCATTCTCCTTAGACAAAAGACGTGCGACCGTACAGTATAAACAGTCGCACGCCTTCCATACACTTTGCGATTATCGTACGATCGCGGGATTTCCAGCGATTATCGTGCGATAATCGCACAGTGTATGGGCACCTTAACAGTGTACAGACCACATTTAGGCTGTTAATCTGCAGGGAAGTGACATTCCGGTTTTGAATGTTAGGAGATTGTTGCAGATTGAAATTTAGAATGCTTCTTCACAAATACAGTACGGTTAGTTAGCATTGCCACCTTAGGACAGGAAGAGTGTTACTGGCAGGATCACAAGGGAAAAACAAGGGAATAAAGGGCTGAAAAAAGAAAACAAATAAAAACACTGCAACTAAGGACTACTAAGCTCTTAGGTTTAGATAAACATTAACTTCAAGTGTTGTACTATGAGATGCTTAAATAGCCTCTTAAAGGAATGGTGTACGCAAATTATATTAAACCTCTGGAGGATGTTTAGAGTTCAGCTTGGCCAGTGATGTTGTGTCTATGGCAGCAGATACCCTCCAGCCAACTATTCTTGGTGGGGAAAGACTCATTAGATCAGTTTAAAAACTTTGTTCTATGGCTATTTTTTCCCAAAAATAAGCCAGGATCAGAAGGTGACCATACCTGACCGAAACCCACTGCCATGAAGCAAAATAGCTGCCTTGTCATAGGATCTCTTGGACACTTGGGGATACCTTGCCACCCTTAGCCCCGTTCACAATTGTGGTGAGCATGAACATGCTCCACGTTTGTGAACATCGCCACGCATCAGCCCATCATTCCAATGGGATGCCCCATGGGTGACAAACGCGGCAAAGAAGCTCATGCAACAATATGAGCTGCGAGCTTCATGCGTTTTTTGACCATGCGTTTTGCAGGTTTGGAATGCATAATTGCGTGTGCAAAGATGCGTGTTTTACCGCCCGCGTTTGGGGCCCCATCAATAATCAATGGCACAGCAATCGTGTCACACGGTTTTACCATGTTGCATAAATGCATGTCAATGTGCCTGCTTGGCGCATCTTCACACGCACGGCAAGTGTGAATAGAGACTTAAAGTCCTCCACACACACATTTGATGAGCAGTAACTAACACAAGGACAGCTGGAAGTCAGCACTAATTGCCAGTGAATGAAACCGCCACAGTTTCTTTCCTTCCGCCCTGATGGGTTGCTCACACACAGAGAGAAGACAGCGAATAGTGACCTGGTCATACGCTGACAATCATTGCTCACTTCCTGCTGTCAGTGTGTGACGATCGGCTGTGTCTGGCACAGCAGGAACGAAACTCATTTCAGCAGGGTTCTTGTTCCTATTGTACCTTGTGTGATCTAATATTTTATTATGTCATTATAACAACTACCTTTTATGTAACAAAGAGTGAGCAACTCAAGCTGCCGATGAGCCATAAGCCCAAATATTCATGCAATGGCGGGGATTGCAGTTGTATAAGGCCATATGCTGACCATCCTCCCTCTCTACAAGGTCATAGAAGACAAAGGTGATATATAAACCAGAATAATAATCATAATTATTAAATGCATACGTTGGTGGCTTCCCAATCTGTTTTTATGACTGTTATGAGATATGCACACAGACATTACAGCTTTTGTCAAGAAGGGAGAAAAATGGATAGAACAATTGGCTTGGAAAATCTGGAATAGATGGACCCCAGATCACTATATATACTGTATATAAGACTTAAGACTCATCTCTTCAGGGAAGCCTATCCCACCTCAAACTAACAACTCAACCATTACGTTCTCAAACAATTCATCCCCACACAGCTACCTCGTCATGTATCACTTACCCCTCCCTTTCAGATTGTAAGCCCTCACGGGCAGGGCCCTCCTTACCATCTTGTCTTGAATACTATTGTGATTGTAATGTCTTCCTTATAGTTTAAAGTGCCGCGCAAACGGTCGGCGCTATATAAATACTGTATAATAATATATATAATATAGTACAGGATTAGGCAGCCTCAGGACTCTGCCTCATGCCTTTGGACCTCAGAGTCTTGCAATTCCTCATAAGTCTGTAGTTCCACAACAGCTGGGGTGCTAAGGTTGCCTACTCCGATATAGTGAATATTAAATGTACTTGGCCAATGCAGCAGTGCAGTCACTGTGCATAGATTCCATAGAATTGTAAGTGATGTTACTGACATTGTACTGTTGTAGGAAGTAGCCAAAATCAGGGCTGCCCTCCTAAACTGGTAAAATGGGAGTACCATTATGGCTGCTTTGTACCGATGAATTCTTTCCCATAATCCCTTTTTATGGGAAAGGAGCCAGAGTTCACTTAATTCACACAAGCATCCAGCCCTTCACTGCTAAAGAATGTCTTGCAGGCACAACAAGGAATGCAGGAATACAAAAGCATAAAAAGAAAATGTCCTAAAGGCTCAAACAGCTTTACACAAAACGCAGTAGTAGATACTGCATCACATGCCTGATAATAAAAAGGTTAACCGAGACACAAAACAGGACATTAGCAAACAGGGCAAAGTCACCTACCTTCTGGGGGCTCAGACATTGGGGGGCTCAGGCAATACATATGATACCCTCGGTCACAGTCATCACAGAAAAGCAGCTGGTCCTGTGGCAAAGGAAGAGTTAATGCATTTCATTCTTTCAGGACTACTTTGCAGGGACATAACAAATGCAGGGCTGGACATGGAACGTAATGTTCTCTGCCTGCTTTGCAATGAAAATACAATAGCAACATGGCTTGTAGATCCAGAATAAAATAAAGCTGGAAGCATATTGCCATCAGTACAGATATCACTGAAGCCTTATTATGCAGAGCAGCAGCACTTGTACTGACAATTGTACACTGCCATCCCCTGAAAATGTATGTCAGAAATGGAATACTTATGATAATGTCTGATCTCTGTGTGAAATCTCTGAAAATTTCCACTTCTTTTCTTTCCTAGAAAAGATAATTTTCAGGCAATCCCAGAAAAATTGCCGCAGTACTAGTCTGCGTTTGTCAGGACTTGTGACAGCGGCACTTCAGTTGTTTCTTTATCATGTATTAAACATCTATTGACACTGTAACATACGCTCACAATCCCAGAAAACTCATCTCAAACTGACCTTGAGCTAAAAAGCCCCAGTGCTAAAGGAGACCAACCAAAGCCACAGAATAAAAGCCCCAGGGGATCATGGGAGTTTAGGTACAGTTAATGGTGTGCTTTCTCACCACAGGTCTTCTGGGTAAAGATGGCCATACTATAGATTCACTCAGCCTGCAGGCTAACCAAACGAAACCTAACAGATTCCTCCATCCATGCTAAACAGCGTGGATGGACGTATCTTCCCCGCTGTGCTATTGCTGTCAGAATACCCGAGCAGTGACTGCAGCTATTAATCAGGATCACACCAGTGAAATGAAATGGCCCTATAGCCACCCTATTTCCTACATTTTATTTTTGAAAACATGCAAACATGGACCTTGTGCTTTTATAACATGGGCTGCTTGACTTTTGGCTACCACCAAGTCACAAGACTTGATTACTACTTTGGAAATGCAATGTACCTTATAGACAAGCCAGAACTTAGCACACATATCCATTTAAGCCTACGCTAAGAATTGGTCAAGGCAATGAGATGGTACTGGGCCAGGAAGAGTCTCCACCACGCTGATATTGGCCTTCATTTATGAAAGGGCCAGGTCTTGAAAACCAACATTTTACTACATAGTGCAATTTTTGTGAAATGTTTCTCAACGCGTTTTTCTCCGCTACATTGACTGTGTTATGGACCACCGCTACTCTTCTTCAGAAATGAAATGTGAATCGGGTAACATTTCATGCATGTGTTTAAGTCAAAGTACCACCAAGCCCCATCAGCGTTCATTGACATACGCACACAGACAAGGTGTCTATACATGCATGTGAATCAGATACTGGAACTCGCATATCTCTTGTGTACGTGTACATTACGGTGCACTCACATCGTTTTCTGAAGTACCACAAAGGATACAGGACTTGCATTCAATACACTGCCAGCGATAAGTCCTAACAGCGGCTGTCATGTTGACGGTGAATTGTAGACATGAGGGGTGACCTGCAGGAAGAGAGGATTATAACAGCAGCACATAGAACTTAAAAGAAAACATGTGCTGAGAGATATGTGGGGCTGTCACTGCTGAGCTCTCTCTGGATTTGCAAGCTGCAATGCCGAACCAGTGGAATTCATCTTTTCTGAGTTACTAACCAAAATGAAGAATGCAGGTTGTAGGAGATCCTAAAACTTCTACATGTCGGTTCCAGGTCAGGCACTCAAGGTACTGGTCAGACACAGCCAGGCAAACAGCATATTAAACAAGAGGTCAGCAGTGGCAGCCCATATATTTCTCTCAGTACAGGTTTTCTTTAAAGAAGACAATCAGCTAAATACAGGGTTGCAGTAGATATACTGTATAGTATCTTTTTTATCTGCCAAATAATTTCTGTCCATCCAACCCTGAGATACAGAGTAAAACAGGTTTGATCACCTCCCTGCTCCCAGCCTTCAATTGGTCGGTAAAGTAGCAGCAGCAGACAGATGAGATTATCCCTCTGTTCACTCTGCTGGACGGTAGTAGCAGCGTGTTCATTGATTATACTTGTTGCCTGATACAGTTTTTTTTTATCATTATCCCTGATGCTACTCAGTTGCTTATCTGTATGATATTAGGAGGCACCTATTCAGCTCTGGAAAGCCATGGTCTCCTTTCATATGGAAATGGTCACCTAGAAGAGCTGAGCATTATGCAATCAGAAATATTATTTTAAACACAATCGCATCAGGAGTGATGTCCGATTTTACCAGAACGTCCGCAGTCTGCACAGGAGATGAGGTCTTCTGGACACCCTGTCTTCTTGGCTCCTCCTAGGCAGAAATCACAATAGCCATTGGCAATGACCGAGCCGTCGGGGGCCTTTTTCACTGCAAGGAAGGAAACAGAAAGTTAGATTTATCATTAAACCGTGTCTTTGAAGAGCATTGTAACCCAAATGAGGTTGGTTGAGAAATTAGGTTCTGATCTTAATTTGGCTGAAGTTGGGCTCTAAAGGAAACATTTACCTAGAGAAACATATAGGCTGCCACTGCTGACTTCCTTCTGAACATGCTAGTTGCATGGCTGTCTCTGACACTTTCTGAGTTACACACCTGGAACAGGCATGCAGCAATTGATGTCTGAATACCGTCAGAACAGCTCATCTCCATACAGGTCAGTGAAACAGAAAGTACTGAGGCCACTGGATTGGCATGATGACTAAGCATTTCCAGGTCAACAAATGGCAGGCTTCACTTTTCTTTCAGCTCAGGTTTCCTTTAAAGTTGGACTTCAGGCAAGCAGCTAAATACACAGATGAATGATACATATAAGAGTTGCTTTACCTGACAAAAAGGTTTGAATATCCTCTAGTCCTGAGATTTACACAGCTCTGCCACACAGCACTGCTCCTGCCTGATAGAGAAGGGAACCTGATCTTTCTCTGCTGCAGTTTCACTTTCCCTAATCGGTCACCTTCCTACTCTGTGAATGAACAGTGAAAGGAGAAGCAACACACGGATGACCCCATCTCTGTCACTCTGTTTTCCCCTATCAGCATAGCTCCTAGCAGTGCAACACTCCTGATTATCTATTCATGCTGCTTCTCCGTCCTCCTCTCTGAGCTCTGCTGTATAGGGACTGCAAGAGGCCATCACAAAGTCAAATTAAGGTATTTACACTGTTTCCATTTGGAAAAAAAAAACAAGACATGGATGTATAAATGAATACAGAGCTGCATTAATCTGTGTCTTTTATATCTGCCTGGAGTTAAAACCCATCTCCAGGCAAAGAAAGAACATATTCTTGCAGTGGCCTACAAGGGTACAAGGTCTACAGTGCAAGGGTCAAGTGCTAATTTTTCCTCCACGTGCTGGAATGTCCCTAGGTGTCCTCATGTCTAATGCAGGTCAGTATGACATCAGCAGTCCTTAGACTGCTGGAGTGAAGGGGAAAAGAGGCTGTGGGGACCAGTCTAGCTGCCTGGCCGGAGATGGCGGGAGCGGGAATCAGGTAAGTAAAACAGCTTTAATAGTGTCCCCCAGACATAAAGGAGCACTTAACCCTTGCAGTACTGCAGATTGGCTTTAAACTTTAAATAGGGGCCATAAAGTTTTATTTAGAGAAAAGAGAATGTAATAATATATAAAGATTGATCATGGCCAATATGAAATAACCTTTGTTCCGGCATTTACATTCTTCTGCTCTGTTAGGTGATGGGTATCTCTTGCTTTTGAATGTACTATGGCACAGCTAAGATTAAGGCCCCTTTCACACGGCTGATCAGGAGATCCGTGCACGGATCCTCTCCTGATCACAGCAGTACGGAGCGGATATCACCACTGTGACATCTGTGTTCATACAAATCATTCCTCCACCCTGCAATGGAGGAAAAAACAAACTGCCGGACCTCTTGTTGGTCTATGGGGAATCTGATGTAAACAGACATTTGTCCATTTACATCAGATTTAGGGCTGCAACAACTAATCGACTAAGTCCATTATAAACGATGATTAAAAAAGTTGTGGACGTTTTCAATCATCGATTAATCGGCTTTCGACTAGTTGGCTCTGTTCACAGTGCCACACACACCGCACCCCTCCCCGCCTCATGCTCGCCGCTGCCAGACCCGCCTGCCCGCATCCACACGTTGCACCTTCTCCCTGTCTCACGCTCACGGCCCGCCCACATCCACGATCGGCACAGGGACGCGGGGAGAAGAAGTAAGGAGGAGCAGGTGTGGGGGGATGACAGCCGCCGGTAGACAAATTATTGGTATTCTGCATTGCGCTGTATAATGTACTATTGCTGGGATTTGTAGTCCTCTATAGCCGGTGCCATTCTGTATTGATTGCTGTATAATTTTACACTTTCCATTTCACTATATTGCACACCAAACTTTTTTTTTTTTTACTTCCACCGCTCCAACTTTGCTCCTGTGATGGACTACAATCTCAATACAAATTAGTAGTCCATCAGTGGAGCCATTTTTTTATCCCGATTAACCGGTTAATCGAACGTAATAATCGGCTAACTAATCGATTTTGAAAATAATCGTTAGCTGCTGCTCTATACAGATTACCTCGGGTCCGGCATGATCCGGTCCGGCGAAACGGATCTTTAATCTGCCTGTCTCTCCAGACCCGGCTGGAGGCAGGGGTAGTCGAGTGTGACTGGACACCCGTCCGTTTACACATGGCTGCCCATAGACTTGCATTGGCATCCTGTCAGTTTTTCAGGCGGACCCGATCTGGGCGGCCGTGTGAAAGGGGCCTAACATGCACTGTGAGAATCTCACAGTTCCATTCATTCTTAATGCTGCTAAACCTCCGCTCAGGGAGCTCCTTGCAGTATAGATTTGTCCGTTTTTTTTTTTGCATTCACCTGGCTTCTGTCCAAGATCTGTTATTTTTGTCATGGCTGTGATTCTTGAGCTTGGTTACCTGTGACCATTGTGGTCACTGGATTAGCTGATCTGCTTGTCTTCCAAACCTATGCATAACACAGATGTCACACTGGGATCCTGACCCCATTTGATTACTTTATTGCATTATTTGTAATCCTTTGGTGTAATCTGTGGTTGGAAATCAGTAGTTTCTTCACCATTTATTTAAAGGACACCTATTACAAGAGATATATTTGGGCTGCTATTGCTCAACATTCTCAACGTCCTTTCGTGACTGTCAAAGGCTTCAATACTTCGAGCCACTGACCTGGAAGTAGCATTTGGCCAGGAAGGTCAGAACTCTGAATATATGTACTTATTCTCAGATCAGTGATTCAGCTAGTAATGAGGCCAAAGCTTCAACATTACAGCTGACTGGGAAACTCCATGGGGCCCAATTTCATGGGTTTTTTATTTAGACAAAAAATAAGGAGTGGCCAAGGTTCATATGATGGTTGTAGTCCACCTAGGAGTATCCCCACATTCATGTCACACTACAGATTACAGACTGATCAGTCCTTCCCCTGGCTCTTATAACTACTTGGCTGTACTGCATGGAAAAGGACAATTACAGGTACTAGTGATCAGGGCCGGATTTACTTTCTCTGCTGCCCCAAGACCAGGTTCCTCAATACGCCCCTTACCCGCAGAATGACAGACCTGCAGGCTGCATTCAATGTCGCAGAGATCGCTTGTACAAAACAAGCTGTGGCTTCCTTGCTGTACATTTAGCTCTGCTTGCCCAAAGCAGGGCTAAATGTAAAAAACAACTACCCGCCCGGGCATTGAGAGATAGGAATTCCACACCCCCGCTGCCCCTCTACTCCTTGCTGCCCCGAGGCTGGGCCTTGGTTGGCCTTGTGGGAAATCCGGGCCCTGCTAGTATCCTTTATCCTTGATTGTCTAAGAGCACTACATTTAGAAGGTCCTATAAACACATACTGGATGATTCCAGCCAGCCATTCACTAGGCAAATGCCGATCACAAGGCATTCCTGCCCCTAGATGTAGCCAAGGAGTATAGAAATTTCCTATGCTTTTCAGCTCCATCTAGTAGCGGGAATGCCATGTGACCGGCATTCTCTCAGCATGTGGCTGGGCAAAAGCTTTATAAATCATCCCCATAATCATATTTTAATTAGATTCTAGTTCTGCTTAATGGACATAGAGTTGCTACAGCTCCTCTTTAAAGCCTACAAAGGCTCGTGTATTCAAAAGAAAGGCTAATCATTTTGCTGAAGTACAATTGTTTTTTAACAATACAATTCTCCAGGCTGCTGTTCGAGAGACATCACCCCCTCCATTCTGCCCACACATAATGCATCAACATTGCACTTTTTTTTTTTATTTGATCCGAACCGCTCATTACATCTGGGGGTCTTTCTTTCAATGGTGCCACAGATGTGCTGTTTCATTTCTGATTCAATCCAAATTATGATAGAAATGATGGTACTTTTCCAAAACAATTTCCATCTGGCTATATCCGTGAGGTCGCAATAAATATATTTTTGATTATAGCACACATGCTACAACATCTCCAATACTTGGAAACCTGTCCGATTTCTTATTTTTTAATTTAAAAATAAAATAAATAAAAGCAATTTTCAGATTCATAATGGCCAGGCAGTAAAATAGGCCTGAGGTATGCAGTTATGTAATGTTTATGGATGGAGAGGCTGGGGGTGGTTGGGGCCTTGCTGGCTTGTTTTGTAAAGGTGCACACTTCCTTTAAACAATCCACTTAAATTATATGGAATTGGGCAGCATAGGAAATGACACAATATTACACAATAGTTGGGATTTTACAGATCATATATTGGGCACTGTGCATGCCCAATTCAAGGCCTGTATCCTCCTCACCTGTATGCCGGGGCTGCATCTCAGGCACCCAGTTCAGCTCTCTGTAGAAGTCTAGAGGGAGAAGAAAGAGATCGGAATTGCAGTAGTTACACAGCGGGGTACAAAGGGGTTAAGTGGGAGGTGTGATTATTTTAGGGAAGCTGAGAGGGAGGGGGAATTGTCATCACCCAAACTGATAACCTACCCCTGTCACTCCTCTGTTTCCATAGCAACTGTCTGCATCCGAGGGGCCGCCAAAACATGCAGCATGGATTTAATACATCTCTGCCTGATTTATTGTTTCAATTAGAGAAACAGACGTAGAAATGGGGGATGGTAGGCAATATGCTTATACACAGAGCAGAGACGCCTACCCAATGCACAGAGTTCTACTAAAACTGGGCTTCTAATACAGAGATGTCTGTGCAGGCCGGAACTGACAACGCGTCGTGTTCTGTGGAAGATTTAACTGTCCTCCTAAATCGCACTATTATATTAAGACTGCAACCACTAAGCTTATACCTTGGCCACCCAAAAAAAAGTTCCTATAGTCATCCGTGGATTGGATTCATCTCACAAATACAGAGTGTTCTTAACATCCCCATAATGCAAATTATTTTAGTAAAACCCTAACCTCTTTCATATTTTACCCCTTATATTTTATATGCTATAGAGACCTGTACTGCCCCTTCATACTTATATCACATTTGTCCTTTTACTAGGTATTTTATAAAGACTGGAAGCCATGACTTGTGTGTAATTCTCAATATTGTATAGAGACGTGAACTGCTACCTTACTTCCCAGTATACTTTATATACCTAAACTACCCCTTAATAACTTATATCACATTTGTCCACCAGATATTAGGTATTTTATACAGACCTGAAGCCAATACTTATAGAGACCTGATCTTCTTCTGTATCCCCCCCTCCCCCCCAGAGACCAGACCTGTACCATTGATTTTCAATATGCAATATAGAATCAAATTGTTCCCTTAAAACTCTCTATTTCGCAAAGACTTGAACTTTCCCCTAATACTCCATATCCCATATAGAGGTATTTGTATAGAGACCTGAAACCATGACTTGTGTGTAATACTCAATCTTCTTTAGAGAACTGATCTTCCCCCTAATATTCGGTGTCCCCCAGATACCAGATTTGTACCCTTAATTCTCATTATTCAATATAGAACAAAATTGTTCCCTTAAAATTCTTTATTTCGCAAAGACTTGACCTATCCCCTAATACTCTATATTTCATATAGAGGCACTTTATAGAGACCCAATGCCGTGACTTGTGTGCAATACTTGATATTCTATACAGACCTGATCTTCCCCTTAATATTCTGCATCCCTCCCAGAGACTAGACCGGTACCCTTGATTCTTATTATACAATAGAGAACAAAATTGTTCCCTTAAAACTCTCTATTTTGCAAAGACTTGAACTGTGCCCAAATACTCTATATCCCACACAGAGACCTGAAGCCATGACTTGTGTGTAATACTCAATATCCTTTAAAGACCTGATCTTCCCCCTAAAATTCTGTATGCCCCTCCCCCCCGCCGACTTGTACCCTTGATTCCCATTATTCCCATTATTCAATATAACAAATAGTTCTCTGAAAACTCTGTATTTCCCATATATTCTATATAGAGGCCTTAAAGTGAATGTAGCCCCTGACAATGGACTCCTCTCACTTTCTGCATTTTGTCTGTTAAATATACCATTCAAATTATTTTGCTATATCTGTTAAAATGTATCTTCACTAGGGATGCGCTGATACCGGTTTTTCAGTATCGATATTTTTTTCCCCCCGGTGTTCGCCGATACCAAATACCGATACCGGAAGTCCCATTAAGGAAGCCAGACGGTGTGTAAAGACGTGCCATCCGGCTTCCCGATATGCAGGGAAGCCGTCTCCATGCTCCCTCGACACCAGGTGACGATGAAGCATGGACTAGGCTTTCTGGCCAATCAGGAAGTAGGGAGTGCGGGTAATGACTTGTTGCTTCACAACCAATCAGGAAGCCAGGCGGCGAGTCATTACTCAGCACCTGGCTTCCTGATTGGCCAGGAAGCCAGCTTCATGCTCCCTCGTCACCAGGTGACAAGGGGGCATGAAGCCGGCTTCCCCGTCAATCAGGAAGCCGGGCAGCATGTAATGACTTCCTGATACCGGACTATCGGGCTAGGCATCGGAGCATTTGGGTGAGTATGAGTGCTCGCCCAAATACTCAGTATCTGCAACAATACCAATACTAGTATCGGTATCGGTGCATCCCTAATCTTCACCCAAAATGTTTTAGTAGTTTTGGATAGAATGGGGAAACTTTAGAACTCTTGTCAGGTTACACTGTATCCAGGGCTCCATTAGAGAGAATTCCTCCCATTTTCTTTTCTGGGGACAAGGTTTTACCAGACAGGAAGTAAGGAAAAATCAGCAACAGAGAAACAGACAATAATAAAAAGCGGACAAAGGTTCTAGCATTTCCCTACCTAACTCAACACAAGCATTTTTACTTCTGTCTGTATGTCTGAGAGATTTCCCTTTACTTCCTGTTCTGGGGCAGCCTTATAAGGTTCATCTCTAAAAGCAAATTTTGGTAATAGATATTAAAAGTGTATTTATGTTTGCTCTCTATTTATCCATGGACATGCTTACCTTACACTTAATGACATTTGGTCATTTTCAATTATTTTCTGAACTATACCTTTCTATCTGCTTATTCCTTCTTTATCTAAGAAAAATCTTGATTCCCGAAGGGGAAGAGGGCAAGGTTTACTTTTATTTGTACCTACGTTATATATCTCTTGGAATGCAGTGCTTTAATTGATGAGTTTGTTTTTCTCCTGTACATGTTCTAAGAATATTGTATCTGTATCCTTGCTGTTTTACGTGTTATGCCTGCCTTCGGATATCCTGTTCTAAATGAAGAATTTATTTTAAAAAAAGGTGTATTTATAATATGTTTGCGGAGCTGTTCGCTCTGTGAACATTTGATCTTCAGACTCGCGCTGCAATATAGCCACTAGATGAGGCCCTGGGGCATAGGAATTCCCTATGTTCCTCAGCTCCATCTAGTGTTGATTTACTAACAATTAACGGAGTCAAATCGATTATCGTTTCTGACTATAAGCGACGATCATCGTTTCTGACCATAATGACGAAAAGAATTGAAGGAGCAGGATTTTGTCCGAATGAATAAAATACTAACAATGTGGTTTTTGTTAAGGAAATGCCATTCATTTACAATATCGAATGTTAAAATCAAACAAAATTTTAAACAATATTTGTCTCGAATTACATTAACCAAGGTTCAGATGAGATTTTTCGTATAAATGTTCATATGAAATTCTAAGCAAACGTATTCAGCTTTAGTCATTTTCTGACATCACTCTCCTTGTAGGCTTTTAACATGCTTGATCTACATCTAGGTCTATCCTTAGAAAGAAATATATAAACAAAAGAAAACAGCCCCCCTTCCAAAAAAGTAGTCTTTTTCTGCCGTCACTCCTGTGTGCTCTTATCACATTGTTTGCCTGATGAAGGGACCCTATGTGGCCCCGAAACGTTGTTTGCTCTGTGATCATGTGAAAATGCATCATAAAAAGACGTGCTTGCATCACTGTTGGAGTGCTGGTGGCTTTTCCTTACCTAAGACATAAGGACTGGTACAAAGTATCTCACCTACTCCTTCTAGTAAGGCTTTGTTACTCACGTTTGTGGTTATTTTTCCTGTGGAAAGGGATAAGATATCTCTCTGCATTCTCCTCACCCTCTTCCTCAGCCAGGTGAGTGTGGGTGTAGTGGTAGCTGAGACCAGGCCGATTCTTGTATCTCTTGCCACAAACTGGAAAAGAAATGAAGCTTACTGTCATCCAACGCTGCTAAACCAAAGTGACCATTTTTAACATCTTCTACAAAACATACGTAGATGTATGTAGTATGGACACCACACGCCAAAGAATAATAGTTACTGGATTGTGACACACAAAGAGATCAGCATTCAGATACAAAAGCATCCCAGACATTTGTCAGTTCAGACTGTATATCTATAGAGCGGGTATTTTACAAAGAATAAGCATTAGAAATAATACAGAATAATAAAATAATGAATAATTATAGGCCACTTACTGTCACACACATAGGGTTTGTCTCGATCTTCTAAGGCGGAAGCATCCTGTCTCTTCTTCAAGCCCCCAATTCCACAGGCCTATAAACAAAGAATGATGTTACTTGATGTAGTCCGGTCCGTTCCGCCACTACTGCTCCCCAGTCTAAAATGTTATAGATTTTAACAGAGACCATACACAAAAACACAGGCACAGAAAATAAATTGGCTTGCCCCCCTCACATCAAAGTGCCCCCTTCAAATCAAGATTCTCCCCTTCACATCAGAGTCACCCATTGCATCAGTAGCCCCTCTTCACCTCAGGAGCTCATGTTTCACATCAGGAGCCTCACTTTCATATCAGAGTCCCCCCTTTAACACCAGAGTTCCAATTTTACATCAGGAGCCCCCCTTTCATATCAGAGTTCCCCTTTTTTTATCAGGAGCCCCCTTCACTTCAGTCATTATTGCCCCTTCACATTACAGTCTCACTAAAACAAAATTTCCAGGCACCCCTGAGGAGGCCAGGAGGCACACCAGCGTGCCACGGGACCCTTGTTGAAAAAGTCTGCTCTAAATATCTTTTGCGTCCCATTCTTTCCTTTCGTACCGTCTCAAAACATTTTCCAATTCTCAGTAATTGTCATTAATTACAATAGTTTGTAATTCTGTCCATCCAGTCCTAAGAATTGCACAACCATGACACACAACACATCCCCACAGGCAGAAAACCTGAGTAGAGAAAGATTAGAACACCTGTCAGGTTTTTATTCCCGTCTGCGTCCCCATTAGGGAGATTCACAACTCTCTATTTGTCCTGGAGAGCGTTGTCACTGAAAGTGAAAGAAAATCCCAATTTTTGGGTTGTCATCAGAACAGGAATAGATGGAAAATCTTTTGGTGGGGACACTAATTCTGGTGACCCTGCTGACTATCAGAGATTTCCCTCACTTTGGAGGGATTTCCTCCCATGTCCTGTTGTGGCTATGAGACAGGAAGTGAAGAGAAGTCTCCCCAATGGGTCACAGATAGCAAAGAAAAAAAGCTGACATGGGTTATAACTAGGAATGCACCAATACCGGTCTTTCAGTATCGAGTACGAGAACCAATATTTATCTTTTTTTGGTACTCGCCTATACCGAGTACCAATGCGGGTACTTCCGTTAGCATGGAGCCGGCTTCTCGGGCCAATCAGGAAGTCGTGTGGCATGTTATTACCTCTGGCCCAGCTTCTTGATTGCGATACTGGAACTCCCAGGCAGAGGGAACATGGAGCTGGCTTCCCAGCCAGACAGGATGCTAGGCGGCGGGTAGGCGGGTAATGACTCCCCACCCTGCTTCCTGAATGACTGGGAAGCCAGATCCATGCTATTTGGCCGGCTCGATGCTGATTGGCTGGAAAGCTGGCTTCAAGTACTCACCCAAATACTTGGTTTTGGCACACCTAGCATACTATTATCGGTATCGGTGCATGCATAGTTATAACCCTCACTCACTCTATCCAAATTTAAAAAAAGTTTGGGCTTCAGTTCTACTTTAAGTAACAACTACAGGTCTTGTCCTTCCCCAACCTGTGACTGGACAGAGAAAAGAGAAGCAGCAGACTGACAAGATCATCTTCCTGTCACTCTGCTCCATTCTTCTATCAGAACGCCACTTGTTAGTGAAGAATACTTTAGCACAACTCAGTGGCTCCTTTTGCTGCTTATCAAACTCCAAGTCTGAGCTCTGCTGCATAGGGAACTCTAAAAGTCGAACGCCAGGTCAAATGCAGCTACTTACACTGCTTTCATTTGCTTTCATTTGTATCTTTCCTATCTGCTTTGAGTTCAGCTTTAAACCTATACCTGTTACTAACAGTTACACAGAATTGTTGCATCTTATCTTGACAGTCCCCAAATCATTATCTCTTGCTTATGGGTGTTATTTAGCACATTCAGCACCTGTGCGGAAGTCCCTTAATTGGCCCATAGGTTCAGTACTTTTCCAAGCTAGGGGCCCACCTCAGGGAACAATACAAATCAGATTTTTAGGGTCAGTACTCACAGACACTACAGTCCACATTCATTTTAATGCAGCTCTACAAGCAATGAAGTTGACCCTTCAATGAATGTCCACTTGGTTCATAAGTGTTTAAAATGATGCACTATGGGTTATTTAAAGAGACTGCACAGCAGTGGTGCCCTTCCTTTCTGTCCAACCAAAACGGTTAGTCTATTAATAAGGATTACTCATCCTTCACTTAGGTATGTACATTTTGGCTTGAGCTATTGAGCTCTGTAAATAACAGGCTTTATACAACAGGGCACTGTATATATACAGCAGGAAAAATGTGAAAAGAAGCCGATAACTCCACCAGCTGCCTGTCTATAAAATATTAGCAAGTATTACTTAGTTTCCTGTCTAAACTTTTTTTTATTCAAAATGAAACATTTTAGTCCTGAGCATTCGCAATAACAGCTATTCCATGGTGCATGGCGCTTAGAGCCTGTTCACACCAGATGGGTTGCTCTTTCTAGAGCAGCCCCGACCCGCAGACAATGCAATCTGCCTTACTTTAAATAGGCTAAGTTCAATGGTGGTGTGCCTTGCTGAAAAGTATCAGCCCAGTACCTGTTATCACACATCAGCAGCCATGCACCTAGCACAGCCTGCTGGTGTGAAAGGACCCTTATTGTTCACAAGACAAATTAATCAATGCTCTTCTAATATGGTGACTGAAATGTTCTCCCCTCTAAGTCTACGTCCTTACTTCTAGACCAGGGGTAGGCAACCTTGGCACTCTAGCTGTGGTAACTACAAATCCCATAATGCACCTGGGAGTCATGCCTGTGGCTGTCAGAATCTTGCAATTGCTTATGGGACTTGTAGTTCCACAACAGTTGAAATGACAGGGTTGCCCACCCCTGTTCTAGACACTGCTGCCACCCACGCTGCCTCTTATTTTCATGTTTCTTCCTCTTGGCTCTTCATTCCACATCATCTTATTTTGTAATGTAAGATAATTTTAAACTAGCGCAGGCAGAAAATGGGACAATTTCAGCGCTTTTTATATTTTTTCCTGCTTGGTATTTATAAAATACAATTATGCACATTTGTGTTAACTGTTTTGGAGGTAAATAAATAGCAAATCGGCATCTTTTTTTAGCGAAGCGCAGAAGAGCTGTTTACAGCCCACATTAGAATTATTAATATCCTCCGATTTGTGTTCTGTTCTCTTTCATTTCCTCTTCCCCATTCTACCTTTTTACTTGCTGCACCCTCTTCCCCGCACCCACAGTATTTCTTCTTCCATTTTTAATGACACATCTCCGAGTGCCCTACCTTTCCTTTGGCTCTGTTCTTGCGTTTTGGGGTATCGTCTTCCAGGTCATCGGCCTCTAGTTCGTGTGGCACGTCTCCAACTTGTGTCTTCTGGAACCATGGAAATCAGATTAAACCTCTCTTAAAGGACAAGTGAACTCTGAACAAATATTGCAGTGCTGTAAAAACTAGAGAATGTAATACCAAAAAGTAAATGTAAAAAAGTTACCTTTCTGCAAAGGAACGTGTCAATTAAACTGCTTCGTCTAGACAAGGTGGGCGCAGCAAGTGAACTACATTAAAATATCAAAATGTTGCAACTGACCTAGTTGCTGGACACTAATACATTTTTATCCCGGAATTTATGTTCCTCTAGTAAAATCTCTAAAGTTCCTGGCAAGGGCCTGACTACAAATCAGATGATGTGACAAAATATTGATGTGATACAAAAGATGTCTTGCTGCACTCCTTACCGGAAATGATGACCTGCAGAATGCAGGTGGGTGCTAGTAGTGACCACGGATGGTGCCGGGAAGTACTTGTAAGTCAAAACGATGTCACCAACATAGCGTAGTCTTTTGTGCAATCAGCAAAAGTCCATTTATTGACAAAAAAATGCCACTCGCGTCATTCTGAGCCTGATGAGGGGGACCCTGTATGGCTCCGAAATATGTATTGTCATTTATTGACAATGTATTGTCAATAAATAAACTGTATTGTGCTGGTGACACCCTTTAAACTAAAATATTGATGCGGTCTACATGTTTGGATGTAAAAATAGAGAAGCCAAGCTTGAATAGAGGTGGGGGGGTGAGACATTTATTGTCTGCCACATACAATGCTGTTTTAACACCTCTCTGGGCAGGTAATTAACACCGAGCTCCAATTATGCAAATGCAATCAACACCTGGTTGTGACTAACAGATTATGTGGATTGGAACAACATTCACCATATTTATTCCCAGAGAATTGTTGTCATTCTGAATTGAGTAAGCTGGTTGGATGACCAGTGAAACGTCTTCAAGAAAAAGTCCAGTTGCCTTGACTTATATTTTACAGATATACCATGACCTGGATAAATGAGAACCTTCACATACATATTTGGTGTTTTAGCACTGTTTGGATATAATGTAAATATCCTTTTACACATGAATTGATCTTCAACGGTTTAGAGTAGTGTTGTTGATACAAAACACTTTCCCCTATGTTATGGACATAAGGACAGAGGAAAGTGTTCTGTAGTCCTGTCATAGTTTGACAACACTACTCCTGCAATGATAAAGTACAATACATGTGTGCAGTCACCCTAGGACAGGAAGTGCGTTATTAAAAGGAGCAGCAGTTTAAAATAAAGAAAAAAAACATCTCTTGGATTTAGATACACTTTAACCCCTTGCCATCCACCCATTGTATAAATAGGGGCAAGCGGCGGATGCTTCCCGGCGGGTGAACGCACATGTACGTGTACGCCATCCAACTGCCCACATGTGTAGTGAGTTATTCTGCAGTCTTTATTAATCCAGGAAACAGAAGACAGCTCTGCCTGCCAACCACTCCTTTTAATGTGCCTCTCTAAACTGGGGCTACGTCACAAATAAGTGGAATGTACATAGGCTTTTATAGCTAGGTCCATTTTTGCAGACTGAATGTAGGGGTCTAAACAGTGTTTTCCAAAATGTGAGATCTGTGCCACTGGTGGTGCTTTCTTTCTCTATAAGTGGGACAATGCAGGGCTTGGGATTTCAGGGCAGAACTGCTTTGTTGGAAAAGATAATTACTCTGTTGCCAAGTATTACTGGCAGCATGGTGGGACAGTGTGTGGGCTTAATGGCATTATAGTAGACATCTTGGAAAAAACAATATACTAACGGCAGGTAGGTGGGATATGTGGTCATTTTTAGTAGTGCAGGTGACACTCAGCTATTGAAGATGTGAGCAAAGTTCAGGAAACACTGCAATAAGGAGTCTAACACATATGACTCTTACCTGACAATCGCTAACTATCTCCTCCTCTTTTAGTTCCAGCTTCTTATCCACTGTCTCTGCACACAATAAGGCTTCTAGGACCGGCCCCTCCGGCAAGCTGCCCTCCTTCTTCATAGGCACTTCATAATCTGAGACAAAAAACAAATGGAGTTTAGCTTTCAGAGGCTTTCCAAGAGAATCAAATGGGAATATAAATGATGATGCCTCAAGAGTTCGCTTCACTGGAACTGAGGGGCCAAGCCAAACCCCTGAAAAACAACCCCACACCATAACACCCCCCTCCACCATACTTTACACCTGGCACAATGCCATCAGGCAAGTACCGTTCTCCTGGCATTAGCCAAACCCAGACATGTCCATCGGATTGCCAGACAGAGGAGCATGATTCGTCACTCCAGAGAGCACGTTTCCACTTCTCTAGAGTCCAGTGGTGACGTGCTTTACACCATGGCATCCGATGCTTTGTATTGCACTTGGTGCGGTAAGGCTTGGATGCAGCTGCTCAGCCATGGAAACCCATTCCATTAAGCTCTCTATGCACTGTTGTTGTGCCAATCTGAAGGCCCCACGAAGTTTGGAGGTCTGTAGCTATTGACTCTGCAGACAGTTGGTGACTTCTGCGCACTGTGCACTTCAGCATGCGCTGACCCCGCTCTGTCATTTTGCGTGGCCTACCACTTTGTGGCTGAGTTGCTGTTGTTCCCAGTTGCTTCTACTTTGTTAAAATACCAATAACAGTTGACCGCGGAATATTTAGTAGCAAGGACATTTCACGGAACACCAGAAACCAATGATTTGGATGGGTGTCCCAATACTTTTTTGGGGTGGTTCTTATTTAGGGTAAATATGTATATAAATAGTTAGTATTCCAATATCCTGCCCGCAGGTGGGTGGAGCACTCCTGAAGGCGTTTGCACATACTTCCCACACTCCTTTCCACTTCTGTTGCACAAAGTCTAATGTTTACAGGGCTCAGTAGCTCAGACTGAAATTTATAGACACATAAAATTGCATTCTAGTGGTGATTTCTCCCCCTCCCTGCAAAGGGCTCGGTCTGAGGTTTTAAGAAACAGTGTGTTTAATCCATAGTGCTCCAGAAATTGTTTGTCACAACCACAGATCATATGAAAACAACACAAAACAGGCCATCTTAAAGTAGCATTAAACTCTCAATTTTTTAAAATAATTAATCTAAATCAAACAATTGGCCAGCAAAGTATTTCTTTACAGTTTTACCCAAGCACTTACAGTCATCATGTTTCCAAATAAACCCAACTCTCTCATCTCCACTTTCTTGAAGTTCCTTCTGAGTACAAGATCACAAGGGACAGAGAAGGAAAAAGGGGAGAGGCCTGCCTTGCTGTGCCTGTGTGTTGATGGAGACACACACACAGCTTACTAGCACACAGAAGGGTGGCTCCATAGGGTATATACAGCCTGGTAATGAGTCCGGCCATAAATGGCTAAATGGGTATCATAGACAGTACTTATTAGAAGTTGGAAAGCCAGAGACTCTTAATACAGCCCTATAGTGAACAGTCTGGAGGAATACACATCTGCCAGACTGGAGTTTGAAACATATACTAACATAAAGATGAGCCACTTGGAGTTAAAGTGGCATTAAAGTCATAATTCCCTCCTCCCCCCACCATGCTGCTTAAGTGATGCCTCTTGATCCGATCATCTTCTTCTTGCCAATAGTTTTCAGGAGTCCCTCCAGCGCTGGTACAGGTCTTTGATCCAGCGCAGACTCCTCGTGTCCCGCGGTGTCTGTCTGACGTGCACACCCACGGCTGCATGCATTAACCTCCACTGTGTCTCTCCTCTCCTCGCCTCCGAAGATCTCTACTGCGCATGTGCCCACCCCATCATCCTGCACAACCACTCGAAAAGCTTCGGATCTTTAGCCGGGAGGGAGCAGCGGAGACAGAGGTAAGTATTTACCTTTTTGTAGGGATGCACCAATACCGGTATGTTGGTATCGAGCACCTATTTTTTTTTTCCCGGTACTCGCCGATACCGAATACCAATACTGGAAGTCCCATCAAGGAAGCCAGGCGGCGTACAATGACTCGCCACCTGGCTTCCTGATTAGCCGGGAAGCCGGGCGCCGTGTAAAGACTGGATACCGGAAGTATGGGGCTAGGCATCTGAACAATTGGACGAGTACTCGCCCAAATACTCGGTATCGGCACCGATACTAGTATCGGTGTATCCCTACCTATTTGTTAACTTTTTAATTTGTTTTTATGTTTTTGCATATATCTATTGCTTGCTAGCAGTAGATATTTGAAAATAAAAGAGACTTTGTTACTACTTTAAGTTTTATAGAATTTCCATAATCCCAGCTATGATTGAGCTACATTCATATGAGGTAATGACACTGATGTATAAGAAGATGGCAATTCATTAAATATCAGACATGCCTATGCCATGTCCAGCAGGTGAAAAAGGCACATTATATGCATAAGATTCAAAGCATGCTTGGTGCCTGACAAAGTGTAATTTCATTCTCTACAATAATATATTGATTGTCTGACTGTAAAACATGCTTATCTGGAAATATAGATACGGTTCGAATAATTGCCATTAAGGGAGTGTCTGCTAAAGTACAATCAAACACTTCAGCACTCCTACATCATACCCCTCTGCTCTTTTGATTGGGTGGGGGATGGCTCAGCAACACCCTCTAGAAGGTTAACAAAAAGCTGCTGCAATTGGCAGCTTGTTTTACCACCAAAAAATATGATGGATTGCTAAGGGTTATTCATGAGAGCCGATGACCTTGATACATCAAATTGGACTTTGCAGCGGACTGGACATTGCCAGTACCAAAGACCAGGTGAACTTTGCTAAGTACTTTGCACTTTTATTCCCATTTATTTTACTGTTGCTTTTTTTGTAAAATTTTTTTTTTTTTAAATATTGTCTTGCACTGTGTTTCTTTTCATTAAAACAATATTTTAAAAATGGTAAAGAGGAACTTTACCCAAATCTTCAAAATAACAACAAAGGCACCTTCTCATGAGATTATAGATGAGACTTCCCAGCAATGCTCTGCTGATGTAACCTTGCCAGAATGCAATGCTTGGGCACAATTACATAATTTGTGCCAAAGTAGACCAGGATGTGGAAAAAAAGAAATTGTAAGTAAAAAAATAATATGTTTGTTTAGCTAATGAATGTAAGATGATTTTATATCAGCATGCAGATCTGTATGCTGATGTGATTTTTAGTGAAAGGGGGTAAAGGCCCACTTAAAGGAGAACTATGAGGTGAGTGCTTTTCACTCACCTCATAGTTGTAGCCGACCTGTGACAATGAGACTGTCACAGGTCGGCTCAGTAGATCGAGAAGTGAGCGAACACATACCGGCGTTCGCTCACCTCTCGATCTTGTCATAGCTCTCTGCCGTGACAGGGGAGGGGCTTGATTCCCCCCTCCCCACTCCGATCCGTCAGCGCTGACTGGCGGATCGGACGGGGGAGGGGGCGGGTTCAGCTGGCTCTGCCTCTAGATAGGCAGAGCCAGCTGTCACTCACGCAGCTGGGCGGATCCAGACATAAAAGCTATACTGAGCTTAGGGTGACGGGAGGATGCTAGTTTGTGTCCTCCCGTTATCCTAAGGAGAACTATGGGGAAAAGCCTTAACCCCATAGTTCTTCTTTAAAGCTAAATCTCTGAGTATTCTAAGTAAGAAATTAAAGGATTCTTCTGTGAAGAAAGCTACCATATTTTAAACTCTGTACTCTTGTCTGGTTTTGGGAACACATGCAATGAACAGTTGAATCATTGAGTCTGAAAGTCAGTCCACTCCGATATTTCAGTTTTGGGTCGAGGATAGTAGGTTGGATCACCCATCAACTCCAGGAAGAATACTTAACCTGCGTTCTCAGCTCCACCTACCTGCTGTGAGTCAAATGTCTCTTGGACTCACTTTAAATTACAGAGCATACAGAAGCGTTTTAAAGTCCTGCTGGAGAATATAGTCGTTCTCAATTGAGGGGAATAACAAAGGCGTAGAGGACAATTAGTTGGATGATGGAGGATGGAGTTGAGAATAATAAGGTAGACCAGAAAATCTAAGTGATAATTAACCAAGGCACAAACAAGGTCACGAAAAATTGATCAAACTGTATTTTTTTCCCCAGACTAGACTAACAAGAAGCTAAATTTGGAAGCCTTCTTCTTGCATGACTGCTACTAGCTGTCCAAGGGACAGATACTGATAAGATACTGATAAGAATATATGTATAATCTTATTAAAAGGTTACTTTGTTGAAGTAGTTATTCATGGCTGTGATAATTAGCTCATTTTAAAGTTGCCAGCAATGTTTTTATCCTCAATTACTCCCTTTTTTCTGTGTTTTTTGTACATTTCACAATGACAGTGCTATATGGGGATAAAATAGATCTGATTCCAACTCCAATTAATTTTCAGCTCTGGGATTTTCATACAAAGAGATGTCATTTTACGTAGTGTCCTGACTTTTAGAAAGAGAAAATAGAAGGCACTCAGTCAGCTTATAACCAACAGGGAAGGTGCATTGTAGCAGGAACCATTATTGTGGACCTGGCATCAGATGTACAAGTATTTTTCCATGTTAAAGTGACTCTGTCATAAGAGAGGTTTGGGAAGAGGGGAAGGGAAGAGGAGATGATCACTGTGGAAGAGAGGAAGGGAAGAGGAGATGATCACTGTGGAAGAGGGGAAGGGAAGAGGAGATGATCACTGTGGAAGAGGGGGAGGGAAGAGATGATCATTGTGGAAGAGGCGAAGGGAAGAGGAGATGGTCACTGTGGAAGAGGGGAAAGGAAGAGGAGTTGATCACTGTGGAAGAGGGGAAGGGAAGAGGAGATGATCACTGTGGAAGAGGGGAAGAGAAGAGGAGATGATCACTGTGGAAGGGAAGAGGAGATGATCACTGTGGAAGAGGTGAAGGGAAGAGGAGATGATTATTGTGGAAGAAGTGAAGGGAAGAGGAGATGATCAGTGTGGAAGAGGCGAAGGGAAGAGGAGATGATCAGTGTGGAAGAGGAGAAGGGAAGAGGAGATGATCAGTGTGGAAGAGGCGAAGGGAAGAGGAGATGGTCACTGTGGAAGAGGGGAAAGGAAGAGGCGATGATC